AATACACTGATTGCAGTAGAATAGCTAAACTACTTGAGCCTTTTTAGTTTATTCCTTTTTTAAACAGCTTTTAAAGCTTATCAATATTAAGACCATACTTACAAACTTCTTAAAATTCATAATTTTTTATAAGGATAATAATAAATAAAAATATTGAATAATAGAAACAGAATTTAATATAGTTAATAATTTTACTAATAGCATTTTTCCAAGCCTGACTGCATTTCCACGAACTGAATTCACTTAAAGAGACACTTTTTTTTTAATTTGTATAATTTATTGTTTAACAAAAAAGTATCGATTAAATTATTTAATAATATTATGAATTCTAACAAGAGTATTTATAATAAATGAAACTAATAAAAAGAATGATAAACTAAAAATGAAATGAAATGAGTAGAGAATTTGAGAATAAAACTCATCAAGAAACTATTGAAAGAATTATTTAAAATAAGCCTTAATAAAAAAAAACATTTTGAATTATATAAATTAATAGGGTAGATTTTGATTATTTTTAAATAAAGATATTTTTAGAGAAGATTTGCTTTAAGAATTTCAAAATGCTATTAAAATAATATCTTATATGAAGGCTTGTTTTGTTCTTAATCATCAATTTCATATAAAATATAGATGTTTTCTTTTTAAAGATTTTGTATTTAAAAACATTTCTGTTATATCACTCCTGAAAATTATTTAGAAATATATTTTGATGAGAAGACTATTGTATAAATAAGATAAAGTATAAGAATTCTAAAAAAGCAATTAATAGGACTTAAATTTGATCATGTAATAAATATTATTACATTTGGATTAGGTAAGAAATATAAATATTTTTTGCAAACTTGTAAATTACTATAAAAAATATTAATTTATTCCACCATAAATTGATTTTAGATCAATTTAGTTGTTAAAATAGTACTTAATGCCATTTATTTTTTATGTATAAATATGTAGAAATTAAAAATAGTTCTATTGTGAAAAACCATTTTTTTTTAATGAAATAAATAAATATGGAGAATGTTAATTAAATGAAAAGCTGAATTAAGATAAATTTTATAAATGGAATCCAACAAAAATTGATTTAAAAAATTTACTGATGAAGAGATTCATAATTGCTATTTTGATAAAATTTAACAAAAATGGATTTCAAATAATTTGAATAAGTTATGGTTCAAAGTCAAAGAACTAAATGAAATAAGAAAATATAACAATAGTATTTTAAATTCATATGCTGATTTTGAATCCGCTTTAAATATTATGTAATAACTCCCTTAATTTAAAATATAAGCAATGCATCTAAAAAAAATACACTTATAATTGGTAGAAGTGAAACTGGAAAGACAATTTGTAATATTCTTATTATTTGCCCTTCAAGCACTACTTTAAATGAGACTAAAATTATTTAATTAAGAAAATGAAAAGTTAAAATTAAAGTTTGTCAAATAAAAAAAGTAGAATTTCAATTTTAATAATTGAAATCAGAAGTTTAAAAAAATTAAGATTAAAAGACAACAAACAAGGATATTAGATTTAATTTAGATTGAAGTTTTTAATAATCATAAATGATTGAAAATCTTGTTTTTGCTCAAGATAGATTTCTAAAAGTTTGTTAATTTTTTGCAGTTGTACTGCTTTATGTAAAAATATTTATGGACAGTTTATGAAAACTATGATTAATAATCCCAAATATATGAAAGATTAACTTGACTAAAATTTGAAGGATAAATAGAAATGTAAAGTTAATAGTTTAAGCAAATTTTGAAGGTATTAAAATGGATATGATAACTTAAAAATTAGTTTGATTTTACTGAGATCATTTCCTAAAGAAGAAAAATATTCCTTATCAATTCCAATTATATTTTAAATAAAATTAAATAAACTTTAATTAAAGAGAAAATGGTTGGAGCAAATTATTAAAAAAAATAGTCTGCAGAATCAATTAAAGTTCTATTCAGTAAAATAAATTATATTATAGGTATACATACAAAGCAAATTGAACATTTAAAAGTTAAAAAAATGAATTGTAATATCCAAATTCACTGAATATTCTTTTAGAGAACTTAAATATATCTTTTTTATCTGAATTTGAAGAAACAGAATAACAACCAATTCTTTCTAATTGGATCTTAGATATGACAAATGAATAAAAATTTAAGTAAATAAATCCTTTATTTTTTAATAAATAATCACCTCAATATGTTTTAATCAACGCCAATTAAATTTTTATAAATTAATAAAATAATATCATTTGAATTTGGATTCTTCAATTTAAGATTGCTATTTAAAAGTTTTTTATAATACAAATGATGAATTAAAAAGTAATACTTTTACAGTTTATATCTGTTTTAGACTATTTTTAAATTTCATATGATGATAAGTCGAAAGAATAATTAGGTATTATTGTTAATAATCTTTCTTTTTTGTATCAAAATAATTCTTATGTTGTAACCATTTGTGATTTTTTAAAGTCAATCCAATTTGTTTAGAAATAATAATTAAGAGATCGGTTTGGAAGACTTAAATTCGTTAAACATTTAAGGCTACTTATTAGGGATTGAAAATTATTGAAAAATCAAATCAATTATAGAATAACAATTAAAAAAAGAGCTTTTATAAAAAAATATATTATAATTGGTAATCAAATTAAAATTTATCCAAGTTATAATANTATTTTTAAATCTGTAAAATATTCTTATCTAATGCATAACTTTTGTATTTTATATTCATGATTCTTCTTTTGCATCTCTTGGATTATTTTCAACAATTATAGAATAATCTGATTCTATATACTATTTTCATCAATTTTATTAGCTAATATTTTTATTCTTCTTCTGTATAACTACAAAAGTAGTATTAAGATGAAATTTGTAATAAAGTTTAATATACTTCCTGCTATATCTACATTTTTATTATCTTAATTTGACTAAGCAAATTTACTCTTATAATTATCATTTGCATTCTAATTCTTCTGATTAATTTAATATTACTCCTTAAAAATTTACAATCAAGCCATTAATTCCACGTATTTTCCTATAATTATTTCAAAATACATTGCATTCATGTTATCAATATAAGACTAAATATCAAAAAATCAAAATAAAGAGAGATACCAGGTTTATTGAAACTAAAATCTAACATAGATGCTGTCAATAATAATTAAATATGTATCACAGATTATCTACAATATGGATATAAATTATTCTTACTTAAATCAACTTTAGCATCTATCTTCGGTTGCAGTCTAAATAGATTAACTAGATGCATTAATTTAATTTGTCTCTTGTTTGAGTGGAATAACTATTGTTATTTTAGTTAGTTTAAGTGTAATTTTCTATATTATATGAACTGGAAGTTATTATATGAATAATTGGTTATTTTCATTTTATTATTTTTAAACATTTTTTTACCTCTTTCTATCAAAAGATTTTCATTATCTTAATCTAATAGTTGAAGTTTACTATTTCTATTAATTCATTTTATAAATAATTTATTTATTAATCAAATTAACATGATAAATTCATTAAATAATTCATTTTTCATATTAGAATATTCTAGATCAAAATAAATGAAGAAGCTCTCATAATAAATACACTGATTGCAGGAGAATAGCTAAAGTACTTGAACCTTTTTATTTATTTCTTTTTTAAACAGCTTTTAAAACTTATTTGATTGTTGCATTTAATCTAATAAAAATACTTAATAATAATATTACTTGAACTATTATTTATTAGAGTTTTCAATAATGTCAATATTAAAACCACACTTCCAAACTTCTTAAAATTCATAATTTTTTATAAGGATAATAATAAATAAAAATATTGAATAATAGAAACAGAATTTAATATAGTCAATAATTTTACTAATAGCATTTTTCCAAGCCTGAGTGCATTTGCACGAACTGATTTCAATATAATAAATTCTTAAAGAGACACTTTTTTTTTAATTTGTTTAATTTATTGTTTGACAAAAAACAATGGATTAAATTATTTAATAATATTATGAACTCTAACAAGAGTATTTATAATAAATGGAACTAATAAAAAGAATGATAAACTAAAAAATAAATGAAATGAGTAGAGAATTTGAGAATAAAACTCATCAAGAAACTGTTGAAAGAATTATTTAAAATAAGCTTTAATAAAAAAAACAATTAGAACTATATAAATTAATAGTGTAAATTTTGATTATTTTTAAATAGAGATATTTTTAGAGAGGATTTGTTTCAAGAATTTCAAAATGCTTTTAAAATAATATCTTATCTGAAGGCTTGTTTTATTCTTAATCGTCAATTTCAAATAAAATATAGATGTTTACTTTTTAAAGATTTTGTATTTAAAAACATTTCTATTATATCACTTCTGAAAATTATTTAGTAATATATTTTGATGAGAAGCCTATTGTGTAAATAAGAGAAAGTATAAGAATTCTAAAAAAGCAATTAATAGAACTTAAATTTGATCATATATTCACCAAATAATAAAATTGAATTGAATTTAAGAAATTATATAATTAAAATTTTCACCTTTGAAAATTAATTTGATAAAATTCTCAATTAAATATTGAAAATAATTAATTCAAAATTTTGACTAAATTTAATAAAAAAAGTTTTAATAATCAAATCTAATTAAAAAAATAACATTAAATAAAATAGATTTAATTTAGATTTGATTGATTTCTTAAATGAAAAAAATTCTCATATGTTAATTTTATCCTCTATATTTTCTTAAAAATTATGATTTTAAATATTTCAAAAATATAAATTTTTTAAATTATTTTTAATGAATTCATTTGATTAAACTTAAAATTAAGACAAAAAGTTAGAAAAGAGTAAGTATAAGAAAATAAACGAATATAAATTAAAAATTAAGAGATAAGCAGTCTAAATTTTAATTCCCAAAATTTGATTCTGTTTGTTGGGATAGGAAAAAAAATATAAATTTTCTAATTTGTTAAAAACTCTCTTAAATTGTTATGAATTTATCTTAACAATAGAGAGCATTTTTCTAATATATATTTGATGAAAACATCAAATTTGGAGATTCAGAGGGATATTTAAAAGTTTTTTAATTGAATGATATGAAAAAAACTCGATATATCTAAGGCCATTTAGCTTGTTTATCATGTATTGCAATGAGTATTCAAGAAAATGAAATTATCACAAGCATAGGAAAATGAAATTATCACAAGCATAGATTAGCCACATTCATGCTTTAAAATAATAGATTTACTCTTAATAATGACTTTGAATAAATAAATAAATAATTGAATGGTATAATTATTCCCTCATTTTAGGCACACTTTAAGATATGTCAGTGCCAACAACGACATTCTGTTAAGACCTACGGATTCGATTCCAAATAATAAAATAAAGATCAAAGGTGTTGATAGAGTATATATCGAGCTTCAGGTTTGGTTCCAACTTCTCTTCTTTTTTCTTTGGCTTAAGCTAAATTTTTTACATATGTATCTTTTTGTTAAATTGCACAAATAATTTTAAAACGAGATTAAATTTATTTTATTTTTGGGAGTTTGAAAAAGAAAAATCAAAAGAATTAATAATTTTTTATTATTGATGTATATCTTCTTTTCTACTTTATTCTGTCTCTTATATTAAAACTTGAGTTCCACCAATTCGCTTTTACTTCAGATAACAATAACAATATATGCTCTTTGGGTTATGGGAGTAATGGAGATTTAAAGACAGCAATCTCAAAAAAAAGTCAAAGGAGTCGAAAAGCTTGTTATTAGACTAAACTGTTAAGTCTCAAATTAAAAAATAAACAATAATCAAATATTTATAATATTATTTTTGGTGGCAAGAAAAATTCCATAAAGAGCATTTAAAAAATAAGAAAGATAATTTTATAATTAATTAGAATAATTGAAGAAAAGATAAAAGAAGATACGGAAGTAAGCATCATTCATTATTGAAAAAATATAAGAGAGTTTTTAAAGAAGTAAGTAAATGAGAAGAGAAGCACCTCTTAAAATCAGAATAGAAGTATCAATTATACCCATTTTTTTTATACATATAACTCTTTTTCTCATCTTTCCTCTTCATTTATCGCTACTATCTCAATCTAATTCGTATATATAATAATTATATCTCTTTTATTAATTTAATAACAATTCTTATTAATTACTTGTTAAATTTTAAAATAGAGAGAATCTAAATAAATTATTCATATCTTATAATTAACTCAATTGAATATTATATGTTAAAACAATTTTGGTTGATTTAATTTCAGAAATTCAAGGACTGAATTTGATAAAAGCTTATTCATACTAATAACTAATTTAGCTCTAATTAAAGTTGAATAATTTCAAGGATGTCATTGCTGATATAAATAAATAAAGGATTATAAACTAATTATATGTTTTTAGTTATTAAACGTATGCAATTCTACATTTCCTGATATCCAAAACCCTAATTACGTAAATATGATAGTTTCTTAATTAAATAGTTGACTGATTGTTGTAATTTGCCAGCAGTTACTTTTAATTCAACCATAGAAGATAAAACATCATTAATTTCAATTATTATAATATTCTAAATAATTTCTTACATTATAATTATAGGCTTGCTTATCCTTTGCTCATATAAGAATTATTTTTAATCAAGATCAACATCTTTTATTAAAAATATGGCTGATAAAGTTATTAATATTTAATAATAATTAGTTTGGTAGAAGAAGTTTATTAAGTTTTATTACATCATATATCTATTTAATTATAAATATTTTATTTTAAGAACGTGCTCATCAATTAATTTTTTTAATTACTATTTTGGATTTATGTTTTGGATTTCAGAATCTATTTTATACATCAATTAATTCCTTTTAATGATGAACATAGAGAGGAAAATGAAGAAAGAGGATATTTCAATTTTAAATTTTTTCTTATTTGCATGAGTGTATTACATGTCATTGTTGTTATTTTATTAATGGTTGTGGATAAAAAATGGAGAAGAATATCTACAAGAAAAAATAAAGTTGATTATGTTAATATTCAAGAAGTTTTAGAAATACCAACTGATAAATACATAAGTATCAATTCTTATACAGATCATAAAATTTGATAATAATTGTTTTTTCATTAATAAATTAATTAACTTTTTTTATAATCCTTAATAACCAGTTTAATTTTCTTCTATTCTCACAATTTATCATAATATGATTCACCTTTAAACAATTATTTTTAT